TTTTTTTTTAAAAAAAAAAAAAAAAAAAAAAAAAAAAAAATCAATATAAAAGTTTAAATAATTTTTAATACCCTACATTACTTGTGCTGCAAGAGTACATTAAGTTTGTATGGGTGTACACAAAACGCAGAAGGACTTGATTTAGATCCTTTTTTTTTTTTTTCATTATGCCTTTCGATTGAAAGAGTGATACTGAGCTTGTCGGCACGTCTATGTCTGTCCATCTGTCCTACTTGCAATTTTATGTTCAGTCTACAAGCCGCAAATTTTCGAAATATTTTTACCATATAAGCCAACATATTCTGGGCTAAAAGCTGAGGACTATTGAGATATGTTTTCAATCATTATTCGGACTAATTATTCTATAACTTGCCATGCCTACATGCCTCATTTTGAACAGTCTTTAAATGAATAAAATTATGCAAAGTGATATTAGGTTAGTTCATCTAACTAACTAAGACATCAACTCAATAACAATTTAGTTTTGAAATGAAGAAGAAAAGCTTTAAGCAGAGACCAATTTTATTTTCATCTTGCAAAAATTTTCACTTTACTCGCTATTATTTCGTTTTGAAGTTGGAGACAAATTTTATATTGACAATGTATCCATACGTATTGATATTTCACGCTAACTAATTCAATATTTTTTAAAATATCGGATTTACGTAAACATATGATATTTGATTCCAAACATAAGACGAGGATTGCCAATTTTTTTTGGTTAATGGAAACAGTAAGGCTAAGGTATTGCACATGTATGGTGTTGCACATGATATGATATTTGAAAACGTGTTAAGAAAACATTTTCTGAACCACCGTTTTATGGACTCCATGTTTTAATTATCTATTTCGTTTTATTTATATATCAGATCAGGTACCGATTGTGTTGTCCCTCCTTAAGTCACTTTAATTGTTTTTCACAGTTAACTTATAAGCATATAGGAGTGAAGAAGTTTTTTGTGTAAATATTTGAGGCCATAATCGAGAGTCGATTGCACCATTGCTTCTGAAAATGTCGGTACGACATTTTTGCATGTTATATATATATATATATTTGAAAATGTAACATAAAAAAAAAATAAAAAAATATTTATTAGCGAATTGTACGCTACAAAGTCAAACAATTTGCATGAGTGAGAGAAAGGAGAAGCACTTTAAGGAGACTATTCCTTTATTCATTTTCGATTATTCGATTGTTTTGGCCAAAAGGCTTTTACTGATTCTCTACGTTATGCTGCTGCATGGCATAAGATTTCATGCAAATAAATAATAAATGAAAGAACTGTATTGCATTGCATTAAAGAACGACGTTCTAATATATGATTTGATGTTTGGATATCTGTTAACTATTCTCTGTTAAATTATTCCGTAAATGCGTACAGATGGATATGAAAAATGAAAGTGAATGCTTGCATTGAATTAATAGCAATGATATAAGAAAACTTGCTGCTAAATTTTTGTGACAAACTGTATTCACAATTATTCATTGATTTTTATAAATGTAACCTTTTATATACAATCATATATATTATCTAGATTTTTTTTTTTTTTTTTCATTCATCTTTCTAGATACCGAGATTCCTATTATTAAACAATCAACAAGTCCGGGACCTCATCTACAGCACTTGTCTGCACATCAAACACCACAACATCCGCAGCAGCAGCAGGCGCAACAAATTGCACAACAAGCACCCTTAACACCACAACAACAGCAACAACAACAACAGCAACAGCAGCAGCAACAACAAGCCGCAAGTCAAACATCATTTACGACAGGATCTGGTTCAACAGCCATCAATATTAAAACTGAGCAAAATGTATTGACTTCACCGCCACACCAGCAACAACATCAGGCATCATTACAACAGCAACAACAGCATGCCGGGGTTAACATTCAGCATGCAACGCCATTAACTGGACCTAACGGCAATTTGCAGTCATTAACCATACCGCACCGTCCTTTGTTGCATAATCTTTTAAGTGGAGGTTCTATACATAACACCCATCACAGAAACTATGTGGCAGGCACCAATGGTATAGATGAAGAGAATTATTCATTCAATTAAAGAATCAATGAAGAATTTTCGATTTTTATTTTCATTTTTTTTTTTTTTTTTGCTGTTGTATGCGTATTCACAGGTTCATTTCCGCCAAGTCCAGCTGATAGCGGAGTATCGGACGTCGATAGTTCAAGTTCGGGCGGTCAGCCCTGTAGTGATGAGCTTAAAGCACGTTTAGGTTTAGCACCGCATTGTACAACGCATAACCCGCATTTACCATCTGGCACATTTCTTCATCCAAATCTTTATCAGAATTCTAATTCCCTGAGAAATATATGGAATCGCGGTGTTGGAAGTGAGTATTAATTTAATGAAATGTTAAGCAAACACGAAAGCAAGCTATATTCGTGGCGAAAAACTTGGATAGCCACCACCTAAGGTAAATAAATGGAATATGTAAAATCAAGAGTCTTTAATTAATTGGGAGTGTCGGTGTTTTGGATTGCGATATTTACAAAATTTCAATAAATATTTGCATACAATAGGTTATTAATGATAATAAATCTATTAAAATATATGCGGATTATTTTTTAATCGTTATGGACGTGTCTGCAACCAATTCATGATCATAGTCAAAGTGATCCTCTTCTTTATTATTATTGTTATTATTATTATTTTTTTTTTTTTTTTTTTTTTTTTTTTTTGCAATTGAAAACAAGCATATATATGTATGCACTGGCTAAATTTGTATCTATTGTCTCAATTTTCGCCGTTTAACAATTCCGAAAACATAGAAAGCAACCGGACAGAATTGACGAGCATTTCGACTAAGGATTTCAAACCATTTTTTTTATTTTTTTTTTTTTTATACAAATCCAATAATTCTCACCTTCCTTCGGTGGTGGATAGAAAAACGATATTGCACAAAATTCGAAAAAGTAATGGTCCAGGAAATTCCCCATTTCAAATATTGTCCACCCACTGTTTTGAATATCAGAATATGTTTCATTTAAGCAAAAATAGTCTTAGATGCAATTTTAGCTAACGACAAAATTCGCACAAAATCCTTTCTATTTTCCCCCACGCTTTACTTATTTATGAAAATGTTTCAACTAATTTTAGAATAATAATTTTTGTTGTTTTTGCTTATTAAAAAGTTTTTCCTGAATAGTTTTTTTATTCTTTTTTTTTTTAATTTCAAAGTTATATATAGATAAAGGTGTAAGTGTTTGTGTGCGTGTGTGTGTGTGTGTGTGTGTGTGTGTTCGAAAACAAAATAAAAATAACATTGAAATAAAAATAAGCAAAAAAAAAAAAAAAAAAATTGAATAATTAAACCTTCCCGCAAACTTAAACACTCTACATGTCAAACTAATGTGTGCCTCACTAAACTAATGTAATGCGATTATATTGAAAAAAGCAAGTAAATGCATAGAATAACAGCGGAAAGTGAAAAATAAAAAGAATGGAGCAACAAAATATAAAACGAAAAAATTAAATGCATATAAATAAAATTCTAAACTCACACTCTCATGCTTAGGTATTCTATATAATTATAAAAAAACATATGCATATGTGTTGTGTATGTAGGTTCCGTGTGTAATTTATTTCTGCTTTGCAACTGTTGCTGTTGTTGTTGTTGCACTTTACAATGTTTTTTATTTTTTTTAACTATTGAACCAACCAATAAATGTACACGCACATACAGCGTTATACAAATAACGCATACTTCCACTTGCATACATATGTATGTAATGCTGTGCACAAGTATGCTTTTATCTATGTATACATTTGAGTATCTATGTATGTTCGCATGAATTTCTGGTCATCGACACATTGCCTTTGCTCAAATTCTGAAGGTCACAACTACATATATGCAAGTTTTTTTTTTTTTTTTTTTCGATGTTACTGCGATGTATGCGTATGCCATTGCTCACTCCTGATGCATTTGTGTTCGTTACAGCACACAGAAAAGAGATACATAAATAAGTGAGAGTGCAATTGGAGAACATGATGAAGAGAGGACGAATTAAAATGCAAGAGAGAGAGAGAGAGAGAGAGAAAACGGAAAATGCATATGTGTTCAAGTGTCTTTTTATTTATTTATTTTTTTTATTTTTCTTAATTCGCCAATGCTTTCTATTTCATTTTCTCTCAATCTCCCTATCTCTCTTCCCCTTTCTCCCTGTTTCTTTCGCTGTCTAGTTCTTGCTTTGCAATCATATGTGTGAAAATAGTAGAACGTACTCTTTCTTGTTGTTTGTACGTATCAAATAATCTGAGGCGTCCGATTTCCTCCTCTTCGAAGAGTATACTTTGACTTATACCTTTGTCAAAGATATTATTATTATTATTTTCTATGGAAACGTACAGACATACATGGAGAGCTTAGCGTTTTAGTTTCTTTTTTTTTTCTTTTTTTTTTTTATTTCTATTCCAGGCTCTTTTAATGCTAATATATTTGTCAATTTGTCTGTTAATAATATCTCTGTCAGTTTTATGTGCATACATTAGTGTGTGTACAAATACTTATGTATATTTAGCTTGCATTCTATATACCCCCGTCTCCCGTATAAAAATTGCGATGGTTGAAAACATAGTGGATGTATATGCATGCATGTACATATGCACAATAATAGTTGCTGTTACTGCTATTGTTGCTGTTATACGAGCAATGGTGTTACACACATACTCATGCATTGCAAAAAGCACTTTTATTTTTATTGCAGTGTTTTGTAACATTCCTTGTTAATTTTGACGCCGGATGTAAACCAACTAAACCAGAAATATAAAAATGTATACATATATACATACATATAGAATATATATGTGTACAAATATATTTGTATATGTATGCATATGTTTTGTTTATATATTTGTATGTTTGTTTGTATGCATAAATTTGACTCTGCAAGAATATAGACGCAGATACATTTTACACTTGAAACAACTTAAAATGCAGGGCAACATTATTATGCATTACTATTAGTTAAATTGAGATTCATTAAAATAATGAAAAAAAAAAAAAAAAAAAAGAAGCAATTTATTATGTTTTGTTTTTTCACGAAACAAATAAATCCGTTATCCCGTAAATTTAAGCTTTATCTGCAGTACTTAAATGATAAGAGAAAGAACCAAAAATACATATCCGTATGCACACTTCATCGCGATGTAAGTATTCCCGAATACCCTCTTACTACAGAGTACAGGCCATCATATTTTCCTTTCTTTTTTTTTTTTCTTTTTTTTTTTTTTTTTGTTCCAATCTATTTATTTTCAAAGCACAGTTAATTGCGCCGTCTTTTAACGTGCAGAACACAGCACTGAAAAGTAAATAATAACACGGGCATCAACTCACGTATAATTATGATACAAATCCTTTAACGGTTTTTCTTTCGATAATTTTCGTATGAAAAAAATCTGAGATATCATACTATGATAACCCATTACCTTTTGCTCGCCTCGCAAAGTAACAATGCGTGCCACTTTCCCTAACATCTTTGAATCGCCAACATTCCTACAGTCATAATATTCTTCTCGTCCTTAACAAACATTATGTAACGAGCCAAACTTTTTCAAAAGTCATTCCGTTGTCTACTTATCTCGCAGCAATTAATAAAAACTAGTCCGCGGAATTTTATTATAAGCAAAAGCGAGTGTTGAAAATAAAAAGAACATTTTTATAATTCGGAAATATTAGTTTGGGGAAAAAGAAATCCATTATTTTTATATGAACTTCAGGACTTTATTTAACATGCTTCGGATTGTCCGATTTGGGTAAAATATGCACCGTTTTATTGTATGATTTGTTGCCATTTTAAAGGTAACTTCAAAATGCCTCTCTCATAGAAGTCCTGGTCTCTATTTGCAAAAAACTCTAGTAGTCGATTTTCACAATCCTCCCTAGATTCCAAGTTTTTATCATTAAAGAAATTTTGCAATGCAAGAAAAAGATGATAATCGCTTGGTGCCAAGTCCGGACGGTATGGCGGATGCATTAAAACTTCCCAACCAAGCTCCCGAAGTCTCTGGCGAGTCACTGTAGATGTGTGTGGCCTAGCGTTGTCCTGGTGGAACACGACACCTCTCCTGTTGGCCAATTCTGGCCGTTTCTGGTCAATCGCTATCTTCAAACGGTCCAGTTGTTGACAGTAGAGATCAGAATTTAGCGTTTGGCCATATGGAAGCAACTCGTAATAAATAATCCCCTTCCAGTCCCACCAAATGCATAGCAAAACCTTCCTGGCCGTTTGAGGTGCTTCACCGCTCTTTGACCACGATCGTTTTCGCACATGGTTATCGTATGTGATCCATTTCTCATCTCCAGTCACCATCCGTTTAAGAAATGGGTCTATCTCATTCCGTTTGGCCAAGGCTTCGCAGATGGAAATTCGATCCATCATGTTTTTTTCTGTTAATTGGTGTGACACCCAAACATCGAGCTTCTTTTTGAATCTAGCTTTGTTTAAACGGTTTAAAACTGTTTTATGGTCGATTTTTAGCTCCTGGGCGATGTTACGACTGCTAACATGCCGGTCAACTTCGATCATTTCTCCGATTTTATCGACATTTTCGACGAGCGGCCTACCTGTGCGAGGTGCATCTTTAACATCAAAAATTCCTGAACGGAATCTACGAAACCAAAATTGCACATAATTGGCTGTTACAGTATCGGAACCATAAACACCATTCACAATTTTAGCCGCTTGCATGGCTTGCATTTTCGCCTTTGTCAAAGAAAAACTGTAAAATGTACCGAATTTTCTCTTTGTTCACTTCCATTTTGAACACGCTGTAACTCACAACTGAATGCACCAAACAAAAAACAGCAAAAGAATTTTTTTTACTGCGAAATGTACAGTATGTAAATGTACAGTTTCGGAAATTGTTTGATCGATACTTTACGAGAAATCTATCAGTGCAGCCATCTACCGAAAAAATAATGGATTTCTTTTTCCCCAAACTAATACGTTCTCGATACGTACATGTAACAGTTAATAATTACATAGGTTGAAAAAAATTTGGAATAAATATGACCATGATCTCGCAAAAAAATTTAGATATATATATATATATATATATATATATATAACTATACAGCGAATGATTCTAATAAACACAAAAGTGAATTAGATTCATTTGCTGCTAAGACGTATCATGCCTTTTGTATTATTCGATCACATAAAAAGAAATTCAAAGCATATTTCCGATTTAGAAATTCAAATTAGCCCAGATTAATGAAGCTCTTCATCAGCTGATAGCTGCATCTTCTAATGCATATTTTAAGATTCATTAGATGAAAAATCAAATTAGTTTAATAATATTATTGAAAAAATTCAACAAAAAAAAAAAAAAACAACAAATTCAGAGAAATATAAATAATTATACTTAGTTCTTTGTTGACTCTCTCATCACAACAACAAGAAGCACAACATCTTTACAAGAAATATCAAGCTTTTCTAGAATTGCTCTCTGCTTCTTTACTCTAGTTGAGGGAGAGTACAAATTTCGTGTACTCAAAAAAATTTAAATTGCACTGAGAAGATTTATTTATTCATACATACATTAATGATTGAAACCATATTAATACGACTTTTTTTTGTTTTTTTTTTTTTTTTGAAATTTTAATCCTCCCTCCTCCCTTACGATTTTTCTCTTTTCTCTTCTTCATTAGTGCCGGAAAACTATTATCTACCATTGGCCACGAATGGCGGCAATCCGTCAAGTAGTGGGCCAGTAGGTAGTAGCAATGTTACCTGCAGTTCAACAGGCACAAATGGTTTGCCGGCAAATGGTTCATATGCGGCCGCCACGCCCTATTTTACAACACCATCACCGCCACGGGCAAATGTTGGTCTGAGCGCTCATCATTCCCTACATCCGCATCAACCGCACGCATTGCATACGCATCAGCAGCATTCCTCAGTGTCGAATAATACGGTCGGGTCGACAAGTAACGTTCTAACGCCGAATAGCGTGCTACCGCATCAACAAAGTGTTATACAACCGGCCACCTCAAGTGTCAATTATGACCTATCCTATATGCTGGAATTAGGCGGCTTTCAGCAGCGTAAAGTGAAAAAACCCCGTAAACCAAAAATTGAAATGGGCGTAAAGAGACGTAGCCGTGAAGGCTCTACCACTTATCTATGGGAATTTTTACTTAAATTGCTTCAGGATCGTGAATATTGTCCACGTTTTATAAAATGGACAAACCGCGAAAAAGGAGTATTTAAATTAGTTGATTCCAAGGCTGTATCACGGTTATGGGGTATGCATAAAAATAAGCCCGACATGAATTATGAAACGATGGGTAGGGCATTACGCTACTATTATCAGCGCGGCATACTCGCCAAGGTGGACGGCCAACGTTTAGTTTATCAATTTGTTGATGTTCCCAAGGATATAGTGGAGATTGATTGCAATGGAGTTTAAGAGCCGGTAATGATGCTAACTAATGATGCAATATTTCTAACGCAATGAACATCATGAACAAAGCAAGCAATCTTTTGTAAATCTTATAATGGCATGACAGGGAAAGAGTCGAAATGTTTTTTGTTGTTTATTTGAAATTTGTGCAATAATGAGATCGTTAGCGTTAAAGAGATGATCGCCAAAGCCCAGGTAAAATGATATATTTTTCAAAAGTATATATCTTTTCATATATATAAACATACATATATATATATATATATATATATATATATATATATATATATAGATATAGATAGATATATATATATATATATCTATATACATATCTATAAATATACATACACAATTATAGAAACACACAAGCGTGATTATAT